CTGGAAGCACTGTAAAGTAGGAAAATTCTGGAATCGGTGAGGTTTGGAAATGGAAATCCTATGGTAAATCTACCTACAAAGTAAAAACAAGTGGGGTGGCTCTAAATGTGAGACCCTTCTCACATTTAGAGAAAGAACTTCACTTTCTCTTTGACTGCTTTTGCTGATTCATTCAGAAATGGTTTTGAGCATTTACTATGTCAGGCTTTGGTTGAAGTCCTAGTGAAAGAGCAGTGAGAGAGTGAAGGTTCTTATTCTTCAAAAGCTTTTCTTATATTAGTGGGAAAAACCATACACAAACTGACAAACAACTAAGCTAGCTATGGATATAATTACATGCTATATAGTCATGAAAGAGGATGATTTATTTGAGGCTGGCCGGGAGGCTGCTTCAGATTGGGTGGTTAGGGAAGGTGGGGACACTAAGCTGATTTGAAAAGACAAGAAGGAGCCAGCCATAAGTAGCAGAACATTCCAGGGAGTAAGTAGAACATTCCAGACAAGGAACAACTTGTGCTTAGGAGTGTGGAAGAAACCATAAGGAACTTCCAAATACAGAAAGTCTGGCACAGTTAACTCCCTGATAAGAGTGACAAGGGCTGCTATTGCCTTCTCTTCTAACTCTAAAGCACATCATCTCTCATTCCTGCCTATGCGGTGCAGAGACATTGCTTTGATTTTACACAGAGCTTATTATTGCTTATTTTTATGAAGATGGTAGTTTCATTGGCTAGTCCAGACTGGGTGGAGATGACAGACAAAATTGCTAAGGTAAGATTAAGCTGGTAGAACGTGGCCATTTCTTGAGACAAGAAGTGCAAGAACACTTGTATGGAAGGATGGGAGTGAGAGAAAGAAGAGAAACAAAATAAAATGCTATTATTTGGAGAAACCTTATTTAGTCTGATATTTCACACTGCCTTTTTGTAGAGGCTGGGACAGGGAAGAGAAAACAGGAAGGATAGGAGAAAGGCGATTAAATTCTTATCTACTGATAAAGCATGTAAAATTCATTTAAACATTTCATTATCTTTCTGCCCCAAAACATGGACTTTTATGGCTATGTGTATATTTTTGGCACTACAGCAACAAATAAGTATGACTTTCTCTGCTGCCCTGTCCTGTTCCCTGGTACACGAACTTGCTCACTGCTTCACTCTTCAGTAATCTCCCTTTTTATTTTTCCCTTTGCTTCTTGCAATGGGTGTCTGTTCTATCTCCCTCCCGCAAGACAAAGGAAGAATATAAACAAAGCAGAAATAAAAGGGGGTTGAAAACAGCTTTGTTATATATATTGTTTGGCCTAATTTAAGAGAGGAGCTCAGTGGAAAAACAGGACTGTGCTTTTCTGTTTTGCAAATCACCCACTAACGCTGGCGTTCCCAAGTTTCCTTCAGGATTATTCCTGGGGATCCCATGCATGACCATAACTTTGAAGGACTGTGCTTTGGCCAGAATAAACAGAAGCAGGATTCTGTTTCTTACTAACACGCTGAGCCCTATATTTAGAATCTCCTGGAATCCTTTGCAGAGTGGGTGTCAACAGACTGATTTGGTGCCCATGGAACAAGGAAAATAATATTAGTTCATAAATTAGGGTGTTTACTCCTCCTTCCTCTTTATCTCTGATAAGAAAAATGACTCAAACACCATGATGCATCTTTTCTTTGTACCATGATAAAAGACCATGAGTGTGAGATACCGGATAATAGAAATAACCTCAGATGTGAATTTCCCTGCATGATGTCCTGGCACATTTCTGCAACAGTAAGGGATTTCACCAGTCAATGGCGCAAAGCACCTGTGTTTACTGAATGGCCTACATTTAATCATGTTGAACTTACACTTGAGGGAGTGAGTCAATGCAAGGACACTGGGAGATGCAGAAACTGAAGTGGATGCCTCCTGGACACTGAGCCAGGAGACACCCTAGGGACAGCCTGGGCACAGTCTGCAAGTCCACTGTGGAAGATTTCTATACAGGATGGAGGCTGGACTTGATCAAGAAAAGAATACATGACATTTTTATCTTTTCATTTTAGTCTGATTTTTTTTTTCTTCTTGTTAATATTGTTGCAGCTATTTGAGAGAAAAAAATGCAGAGGTTTTTTTTTTTTTTTTTTTTTTGATAGTGAGGTTCTTTTTCAAACACGACTTCTAGGTTAATTTAGTGCAACAGTAAACATTTTAATTCCTATTGCTTGTCCCTCCCAATTGTTTGATTTTTTTGATTATAAATAATTCAGATGAATGAAATGCCATAAGCCAAAACTACAAGTCTCTCCTTTTATGAATGGGAAAAAAAAATCCCAGTGTGCTGGTATTAGAAAGGTCCATAGTTTTTCACTGCCAACAATAAGAAGCAAAATCTCATCTCCCTTTAATGTATGAAAAGAAATAACTAGATGAGTGAAAGAATTTTACTGGGCAGTTACCTGGACTCACTGATTACCAATAACAGATGCCATTCTAATTTATTTGCAGGTACCATTCAATAGCCTTTCTCTATCAAAGCATGCAACTTTTACAACATGAGGAAAGCTTTTTTTAAGTTACCATGAAGATAAAGGAACAGATCTCAGACCAAATCAGTGACAGCGGTCACACCTAAAGAGGTTACTCTGGAGAAAGCAAAGCAAAGAGTACTAACTTTAATTACCCCGTAGTTTGAATTGTCACATCAAGTATGCATTCATTTTGTAATTAAAACAGCCACTCGGGGAAACAATATGGAGGTGCTTCAAAAAATTAAAGAACTATCATATGATCCAACAAGTCCAATTCTGAGTATCTGTATGAATTAAATGAAAACACTAATGCAAAAAAATACCTAAACGCCATGTTCACTGGCATTATTTACAAGAGCCAAGACATGAAAACAACGTTAAGTGTCCAATAATGGAGGAATAGATAAATTGTGTGCATCTCAAGTAAATGTTATTTCTAAGCTACCAAGTTCTGTGATTAAGTGCTCTGCCTTTTCCTAAATTTCTTCATGAAGGCAGGGGTGGGTGAAAACCTCTTTATATGGATGTTAAACACCAAAGTCCATTTTCCCTGTGTCTTATTTAATATTAAAAATCAGACTATAAGCAAATAATGAAATCACTCTTCAAACTGCTTAAGCTACTCATCCTCTTAATGGCAACAAGTTTGCTTTGTCTGTCTTTTGCAGACATGCTCCCCTCTGCCCCCATCACACACACCAACATCACTGCAAAGTGAAGCTAAAAGCTGAAGAGCTGTTGAAACTGCTGAGATAAGAAGGGCCGTAAAAGCCTGTTAACAGCTCCTCATGTTTGCCCTCCTGCGATTTATATCCAATTTATGACAGCCATTAATGAGAGATATACTTTACTTAACCAAGAGCACAGTCAAGTCCTAGTTATTAAACACACGGCCTTTTCTTCCCCAGAACAGCAGGTCCTTGTCTCAGTAAAAGCACTTCAAATATATATTCAAAATGCAAAGATAAAAGCAGTCAGCAGCAGCAATTAATTTTATGGGCTGGGGCTCAAGAGTAAATCCTTTTTAAGCCTCTTCACTCTTGAACTCATGTCACCTGTGCAGAGTCTCAATGGCGCTGGAGTATAGGTATGAAAAGTGCACCTGGCACCTTTCCTACCCCATCAGGTTCTTGAACCACAATGATGAGAAAAAGAATCCAGGCGGATGGAGACGGAAACATTACTGAGACCCAATTTCCTTATGCTTCGTTTCACGTAAAGTCACAGTTTCCAAAAACCTATCATTGATGGTGAGGATTCACTGTCCTGTCTACAAAGCTAGTGGCCCTGTTGGCTAAGAGTGAGCTGGGATGGAATGTAACACTGCAGACAGGGTAGTAACAAATAGACTTTTATGCAACACAAGGCAGTCCCCAAGTGTCTGCCCTCTTGCTAACCTAAGGCATTTGCTTGGCTGATTTGTTATAATGTTCATGAAATCACTAATAATGTTCATGAAATCACTCAATATTAAAGTGATATACAAATGTCAGATTTGAACTCTAATTTGAACCTCCATTTACTGTAACATTTCTAACAAAGACGTTGATGACAGAGAGATGAGAGTAGGTTTAGTATCAGGGAAACAGTAACTCCTACCCCTATTATCCTTCCTACCAGATCAAAAACATCAGACATCATGGGAAATTCTAAGAGGCTTTCTTAGATTCTGACAAACTCATTCTCTTGGAAATGTGGCCTTGTTAAGAAAGTATACATTTTATACGATTCTGACATTTCCACCGACCTCTATAAGGGCAGTAATTCAAGGTTTGTTATGCTGTGATAGAACCTTTTGAGTTAATTAATTTCTGCCTCTCTCTGACATTGTAATGGCTCCATTCATAACAACTCTCTGCTGTAGGGTGCCAATGGAAACAGCTCATGCAAGGTTTATCATCCTAAGAAAATAATGGAAATCAAATATGAAGGTGGAATTCACGGAAATATGCAGTTCCAAGAATTCCAAAGCCAAGTCACTTGAGTTGTGAAGAGCTCTCTTCTTCCTGACCAGCCTGCCTATCTCTGGTTTCAGCCCCCAACCCAGCTTCAACACACTGAATTTCCATCCTCAGCTTTCAGTCTTGTCTGACTTGGATTTCCTCACCGATGCTTAATTTTAAAACATTTGGAAAAGCTTTTAACAGACAGCTCAAAGTAGGTCCCTCTCCCATCACCTCCGGGGGATGGCCACATCCTTGCTGTACATTGGAAAGCCACACCATGCACAGATATTTTCACAGCTGAAACCAGTTAAAACTTTTAGCAAAGGGCAAAGAGAACCAAGCTTCTCATTTACTTTCTGTAGTTTCAGACATCCTTTATATTTTTGAATGACCCCATTCAATGGCAAGGTCACATCAACCAGGGACAATGTGCCTGCCGAAGGGACACCTTGCCATGGACTTGAGTCCAGCAAAACGTTTTCCCTGCCCAGAGAGGCAATTTAGCAGGGGTATGGAAAGAATTATAAAACCATGCAGAAATACTCACAGTTTGGGTTTGGCAAGCAGAGGTGGCGGCTCCTTAGTGGGTGAGAGCAGGACAGCTGGTGCAGGAAGAGATTTATTACTGTTAGCTTTGCCGTTAATCAGTCCATTTACTCCATGGCTGGGATGGACGCCGTTGGTTTCCCTCTCAGCAGAGCTGAACTGCATTTGAAGGGCTGCCCTGCTCAGTCCTAACTCAGGGCTGTTCACCTGCTGGATCTCAGCTGGGTTCTTTGATGCCAACTCAAAGGAACTTGCTTCCAAGAGTGGAGGGGGTGGAGGCAAGTTTTGGAAGAGATCGTTGTTGGCGTCTCCCACTGAGTCATAGCTACAGTTTTCAGTGTTGGCTAAGGAAAAAGAACGGCAGGAGAGAATAATAAGATGCCACAGTTATGTTCACATTGTCCTGGAGCACCTGAGCTTCCCTTGGGCCCTGTTAAGATGCTGAAGAAGAGATGACTTTGTACTATCTCGGCTGATGCAGAAGCCAAGTCTGTTGGAGGACCCGATTCTTCCATGCTTGTTTTCAGTGGCTGCCACTGTTTCATTTCCTGAATTGCCCACATGTGGTGAAACCAGCTACCAATTCATTAACAAATTCCAAACAAGAGCTAAAGATAGAAGTTGGCAAAAAAAAAAAAAAAAAAAAAAAAAAAAAAAAAAAAAAAAAAACCAACACAAATAAGACCAACTAATAATAATGCTTCATCCTCTCTAATTTTGACCTGTGGGTCAAAATCCATCCCATTTGTGCTTGACTGACATTAGTTCAAGCTATAAATGTTGTATGTGGTAAGCCATGGACATTCATGCTTTTTAAAGGTAAATAACTAAAGCTCAGTGGGGCTTATGGAACGTACTCAAAAATGTTCACTGAGGTACGCTGAAAGCCCAAAAGTATTTATTGATTGCGTCTGGCCTATAGCAGATTTATCCCAGATGAAAATGGAAAATACTGCAAGCCAGTTTATGCCACACTGACTTTGAGAGTCCAGAGTTTGGCCCAGACTGCTGCAGCCCTGCTGGAGCCATTTGGTGTGGCCACTTTCAAGCCAACTCAGACTCCAAACATTGGGATCCCTTCTGCTTTGCGGCTCTAATCAGGCTCCTGGAGTTTCCTTTTTCACTGTCAAAGGATCATTCATCTCAACGGTTTCCCCATGGAGGTAAACTTCCCATTTCTTAAGATGAAAAAGCATTTACAATTCCCACTGCACCTCCCTCAACCCCCGTTGCTTGTGCCTCTGCTGCCACCTAGCACCACTTCCAGACTCTTGGAAAGGGATCCAAGTGATCCGGTCCTCTCCTTGATCTCTCATGCAGCCCACACCCCATGTACCGACACCTACTGTGTATACTACGTGCCAAAGAGATATTTTTTAAATTTTTAAAAAGAAATCACAGATAGGAGGCTATAAAAATAAAATTAAACCAGTCAGAATGATTATGGATGTCTTGGTGTTGGGGGTGCTATGGTAACACATCTGACACAGTGTGAACCTGTATCCCCGAATCACATATAGTGTTGTAAGCCAACACTACCTCAACAAAAAAATACAATTAAAAAAGAAAAAGCCAGTCAGTAATAGCAGAAAATAGTAAACTAAAGTTAATAAAAGAAATACCTGTTCCTGTTGCACTCCCTACAGGTTTGAGTTAAAAAAAAAAATCCAATGGTTTTGAATATTGGTTGTAATAATATACTGCTTTAGTTTTTCATATCAGGGTTATATTCTACTACTAACAAAATCTAATCTCTAAGATCTTCACAGTTTCTCTGAATTATATTAGGTCTATCTTGTATGACTTTTTCAATAACATGCAACAATGATCTATTTGTCCACGTCTCTGCAGAGCCCCTGCTTTGGCCCTGCAGAGATTAATGGTCCTGATTCAGAGATGGTTTCTGATGTGAGCCGATTCTGAGTTCACAGGAAGGAGTTAGGAAATCAGCTCCGATGTGTCCAAGGCCAGGACTGCATGATTTTTTTTAAAGATTATTTATGCATACAAGAACTGGAGTACAGCCAGAGGTGTGGAGGGTGAGAGGATTCACCAGAGAGAGTGGGGAACAGAACAGGCAGATTGACTGAAATACACTGCTGAGGGGAGCAGCAGGCGAGTCAGGAGAGGTCTGCTGTGCTATGTGGGTCTCCTCCCTGGCCGGGGAGCGAACTGGTGCTACAGTGGCTGCGGATAGCTTCATAGGTTGTGTCTTAAACCCTTGCGCCACCAGGGAGGCCCCAATACTGCATGATTTAAAAACCAACCGCTCTGCCCGTGTTTTCAGGACTATACTATCATCTTTTGACTTTTGTCACCACTTCCAAGGCCCCTTTCTCCAAAGCCTTTAGATTCCTGATGAAACACTGACTGTCAGGCTAACTCCTGGAGCAGCAGTGAGCATTCCTAAAGGCTGAGCTCTCCTCCTGGGACCTTGTGGTGAACCACACTAAGTGGCGGGGAACAGAACTCAGTCCATTCCTCACTCCTCACATACCTGACGTGACAAGCAGCTGGGCAGTGCTGGTTACAGATCCATAATCATTTCTTGCCGAGCACGTAAAGATCCCCGCATCTTCAGGGAAAGTCTCTGCGATCACCAGGGTACAGATCTCTTCTGGAAGTGTAGAGAACAGAATTCATCAGAGTAAAGCCACAGCCACTTTGAAGAAGTCAGAAACTGCTTTTCTAAAACAAATAGGTAATGATTATCCTGAAAGCGCTTTACAAAAGTGTTCGCAATAGAATCTTTTTCCATTTAATTTAGCTGTGCTAAATTTTATTTACACTTAATTTAACTGTGCTCACTAGTGATCACAGCTTCCTTGGAGTCAGATCCTTTGAGACTTCAGGCAAGATCAGTCTTGATCAGTTGGTTTCCTCATCTATAAGATGGGGTTTTAATACCTAATAGTGTATCTGTGAAGGTAAAACAAGATGTTTGCCAAGTGTGTACCCCTGCCCTGGCATGTGGCAGATGCTAAGTGGATGTCAGCTCCACTCACTCCAGCCTAATTTACTGGTATGTAGAGTTCTTTCAACTACAATGGAGCTGCCTCTTACTTCTGTTCATCTGAAAAGCAACTAGAAGGGGAAATCAAGCTTCTCTAAAATGTTGACAATGGAGTTAAGAACCTAATATGTAAAGGTTTGATTTGCAGACAATTATTCTGGAAGCTACTGGAACAGTGGGTTGTGTTATACAGTGCAAAAAGTTCAGATCTAGAATCTGCTACCAAGGCTTAAATAAGGTCCTGCTTCTTCGTGTCCTGCTACTTGTGACTTTGGTCAACATCCCTGAACTTCAACATCCTTATCTGTAAAATGGAGACAATGACAGGATCTACCTGACAGTTTCTATTAGTCACAACTCATAAAATTAACCACCACCGGGTTATGATGGATGCAGATGAACATGACAATTGCTAATACCCAGGGCACTCTTACTAGGCACTAGGTACTATTACAAGCACTTAACCTACATCACTTCAGACTTAATCCTCTCAATCTCATGAGTTATGTTTATTATTATTCACCCATCTTCTAAGTAGGAAACCGAAGCACAATTGCACTAATTGATTTGTCCAAGGTCACATAGCGAGTAAATGGCAAAATCAGAATTTAAACCAAGTTGAGTTCTAGATCCATACTCCAAACCACCACTTATTCTTGTGCTATGATACAGACTGGGCTCAGGACACAGCACCTAGAAGATGCTGTGTAGCCATAAGTGCTAGCAATTTCCATTAGAGAGATGCTATCTGGAGTAACCGTTCATGTTGTACCAGAGAAGTAACAGATGATTAAATTAACAAATATTAAGAAATGTGATCTATTTCTGATTCCCAGAGACTCCACTGGATATTTGCATAATATGTGGGCAGTGTAAGACCCCACACTGTAGATGTTTAGCAAAACCTGCCTTGTCTTCCCTCTCTGCATCCAGGCCCCTTTGTAATGTGACCCTGTAGCTTCCCCCAACTGGCAGAGTTTATTTCTTCAACCCTAGAATCTGGGCTGGCCTTGCAAGTTGGCTTAACCTACAATGCACTAGAATTGAGGTGGGTGGCCAATTTAAGGGCCACTTTAATAAAGGTTTTAATTATAAGGTAGCAATTGTACCCACAGTTATACTTTTTTCACCTTGTATTTAAACCACAAGATATGTTCTGCAACAAATTTGCTTATTTTCACTACTGATGTAAACGGACTACAATCTTTAATAACGCAATTACAAAATTGAGGGCAGAAACCACTATCTTTGTATGTACAGCAACATATTATTTTATGTCCTCTTAAAAATACTGAAGTAGATACATGAATAGTTAAAGTTTCTAGAAGCTATTAATTGGAGGAGATTCCAGATTTTGCCTCAAATACCTTTTGTCTTATAACCTTCCATTATTAAGGTCTTCAGTTCATTTAATCTGCTGTCATCCCCTTGTTGGAATTACGAATCGTTTAGTGTTGCTGTTTAAGATGGAAAATATATGAGCAACCTGTATTATTTCTTAACATTTATGGCACCTATCACAGACATGCTCACCTTTGTCTCAATCAGTACAAAAGATCCCTATCTCAAGACACACTGTGGGAACTGGGAAAAGACCAGTTCCCACAGTTACAAGGTATAACCATGAAGCATAATATGTATAAGTAATTTTGAAATCTACAACAATGTGCTTTTCATTTAAAAAGATGAAGAGAAAATAAAGACAGACTAGAAATAGGCAAGACTCTGCATTGCTCTAGCTTTACGTCTACCCTACACTTGCTCTTGCTATACAGTCAAGGATGTAGATAAAAATGTTATTTAAATTTGCATATATCACTTAGCTCTACATTAGGACTAGGATGTTTTCAGGGGAATTTATAAGATTGGGTATAATTTCTTGAATCTTTTAGCATAGTGTTTCCCAGACCTGTTAGTTATCACCTGGAACATTTGTTATCTATGTTGGTTACATAGTCCTCTCCCCTAGAGATTCTGATGCAACAGACCTGGGCTAAGGATTTTTCTAAAAACAACACACTTTCGAGACCAGATTTATCTTTAGGAACGTATAGGAAACTTCATCCTAAAAATGAATGTCAAATGTTTTTGATTGGAACCCACAAAATATGTTTTATGTCTGACCCAGTCATACAGACACATACACAAACATACCTAACAGAAAATTTCACAAAACAGTACTTAAATTCATATGAAGTGTCCTTTACTATTTTGTATTTTATTTTATTTTAAAATAATGATGGTTGCCATTTATTTTCATGGCTGTTTAAAAACACTGCCCCCATGGACCAAGGTCAGTTCCTGGCTCAGTAAATATCCACGAATCCACAGAGAAGTGTTTGGCTACTAAAGGATTTTCAGGTAAAGGTTTAAGAGATACTGACACATGAAAATATCAGCTGCTCCTAGTGCAGCTGCTCCTAGTGCTTCCTGCCCAGAGAAACAATGCCTCCATCTTTGCACTACCTTCCCAGGACTTGGTGCTCTTAACCTTGGATCATTTTCACTTGGGGAAATAGGAGTTTCTGTAGACATTTAGAAAAATACCCATTGCCAGTTGAACGTCAGAGATTGCTTTCACTGCAAACGTAGGCATATTTCTGTGCCTTGAAACCTACATTTCAGAATCAGATAAAATGATTTTGGAGTGACGATCTTAATTCTTTCTTACATTATCACAATTTTGTGGGTTTCTTTAGTTAGACCATTTTCACAAAACCTGACCTTGTATATGGAGTTGTCCTTCTAATCCAGAGGGTCCTCTTGGGAATGACATTTTACATCTCCCCTATCTTTGAGGCTAAGTTAAAATTCCTTTATGTCTCAAAGTCTACAAAACCACCGGCTTTCTTGCCAGGTTCATTTGTTTCTCTTACCTTCTTTTGCTGAGCTATAGGTGCCCTGGCTCTTGGGCAGCTCCTGCAGAAGTGGCATTCCTTAAGTTCTCGACCCTCTCCTACTTAGCCTCGCCATTTCCACCTAAACATTACAATCTCAGAGGATCCTTTTTTGATGAGATTTGGCCAGCTCTGCCTCCTGCATGTCCCTTGGGATGGCAAACATCTATCCCTATTATATTTAAATTATTTGTTGTGTAACTGGCTTGTTGCTCTCTCATTCCCTGACACACTTGGCCTCTGTGAGAACAGACAGCATTTCTTCTGTGCATGGCCAGACCCTTGCATCACTTCCACAGCAGGCTCTCCATAAATATGGTTGAATAAACTTATGGACGAAATTTTGTTTGAGGGGACAGAAAGTAAACATTTGCTTTACAGAAGACCGTTTTCTAATGGAATTCTCAGGAAGACTGATTTTCCCACGTTTCCTCTGTGTGACTCAAATCTGAACAATATTCATTTTAGCTGAATTTTCAGGAACATTTCTATTGCATACATAAGGTATAGGCATGTACCAAGTTGATGATGAATGAACATCTACAAGTGATTTTACAAACTTAGAGAACATAAGAAAAATGCATTGACATGTTCTTTTATGTGGGATGTTCTTTGCTACATCTCAGTGATTTTTTTGTTTGACAAAATTTTAATTCAGTCCTCCCAAGACTGTTCAGTTTTTCCTTGGAAAATTTATCTGAAAGGGACAATAGGTCCCCATTTTGTTGAGAAAGAGGAGCATCACAGCTTGATTGGTTCGGACATTTATAAAAATGAAGGAAGCCATGAGGAAATGAGATGAGCCAGGTAGTAATACTCAACTTTCATCTGGTAGCCTTGTACTTGAACAAAGAGTTTAAGACAGCTGTAAAATACATTTTAGTGAGGAATGGAAATCAGGAAATGACCGCTTATGTCAAATAAAGGGAGTTAGAGGCTTACTTAATTATACTGAAAAAAATGGCCTCCAGTATAAATGGAAAAAAATTTAAGTTATTAATAACTCCAATTATGATCTACTTTAATCCAATTTTCCTAAGTGAAAGGTTTTGATTGGAGGGCATATAATGAATTACCAAATTGGAAACTTTTTTTATTTTTGCTGGAGGTAAATTCTGATCTTTATAGTTAACCTACAAATTACCTAATTACATTAGTATCTCCCAGAAGTCAAGTTTTTTATTCACGTTCTTGGACCTACTTAACCCTTGGCTAAATGCAAACAAAACCATTTTATTTGCAGAAACACACAAAATGATGAGGCAGCAAGGATACTATTACTGGGTCCCTTGGATAATAAGAGGACATTTTCAAAAATACCTTCCTTCACAATTTGTGTGTGTGTGTATGTGTGTTTGGCAGGAGAGGTTACAGTCTAAGTAAAAAGAAATCCAGAATTAACTTCCAAACCACATGGCTTGGCTAACACAACTGATAATGAAGAATCCTGGACTAAAACCAACATGATGAGATTCAGACTGGATAAATGAACCACTGTTTGTCCATCAAGTTTTAAAAAAGATACTATCAATACTTCAGAAACTCTGCATAAGCCCAACTCAATCTTCTTGTTTTCTCCTTTGAGTCCATCTTTCCTTTGATTTTTGTTATACGTCATCATACCACAAGAACTACTCTTGTCTAAAGAAAAGGGAACTGTCCTGTGTTAGAAAAAAGCTGCCAGGGTATATCTTGGGGTATAAACTA